GTAGGGTAGAAAGCCCCGAAGCCTGGTCGAACCCCTTTGTTTCAGACACCCATTGTCCGTCCTTTCTGACAATTTTCATTCTTTTAAGAGTGTTGGAACTAATAGTGTCGGAGGGTCGAGGTTTGATGAAAGCATCATCGTGAAGTGGAACATCGAAGTGTTGAAAGATTTTAGTGAGTAGCATGCTATAGGGAAGTGCCTTGGATATGCGTGAAGAATGAATGAGTTTTATAAGACCTAAGGCAATCGTCGAGAAATCAACTCGCCGATCGACGAGGAAGAAGTCGAGAAGAAAAAGATCAAAACAGTTCACTTCATCCCTATGCCCTTTTCGAGGTAAAATAACATTGGCGATGATATTTTGTAAAACTTTGCATGTGAGAGTGAGTTGGTTCGTTGAAATTTTGGTTATGTTTTCAAAATCCTTACCCGTTACATGACGACATACGTTAATCGGTTTGTATCCCTCCATGGTAGGGTGAGTTTTATGGACAAATTTTTTAATGTCACAAAGTTCTAACTCAAGAATGGTGCGAATGAGTGGTTTTGAAATCGTGACTCGAACATTTTTGATAATGCATGAAATGTCTCCCGAACGAGGGGTAATGATCATGTCTTTGTAAAAAGTGCGAATAAGGTCCGGGTATGCATTTTTGTGAATTGTGCAAATTGAGGTACAACCCATATTCGTAATGAATTCTTCAATCCTAAAAGCGGCTGTATCATAAGTAAAAGAGACGAGGTCGATGTTTTTACCTATGAGAATGGGTGCCTCAGCAAGGGGGTTTACCGACGTCTCCTCGATTTCAAAGTCCATGTCATCTTCAGGTGATGAAGGTGGAGCTCCTTGAACGGTCTAATTGAGGCACTTGCCTCTGCCCCTAGAAGTCGACATATCCACAAAAAATTGGAATTTTTCGAAAAATTTGGCTTGAAGATTGGGAATTTCGAAAAGTATGGAGGAGAGACTATGAATAGATGATCGAGAGTGTTTGAAAATCTAGGAAAGTAGGCTCGAGTTTGTGGAATAGTCGATGTAAAGTTTGAATTTGTGGATTTAAATATGGACCAATGGGATTTAAAATCGATTTTGAGTGAAGATGAGAGATTTTAAGAGGTAGTGAAGAAGAGAACAAAGGATGAAGAGAGGAGAGAATAGAAATGGAGAAGAAAAGGGGGTGAGATCGCGTTTTTAAAATTGGAATTTTCCAGTATCGGACTTCCAGTAAAAAGGTAATCAAAAGGCAGAAAAAATTCTGCCTTATCGGACAGTCTATACCAGACGTCCAGTATTTTTTTTTAAAAATAATAAGTGAGAAATAATAAGAAAAATAAGATTTTTAGAAATCATTTTAGCTCAATAAGACCCAAATTTCGTCTAATGGTTGAGAAACGATCGAGTGCAAGGGGTTTGGTGAAAATATCGGCCAATTGGTTTTCGGTGTCAACAAAATCAAGTGAGATATCGCCGTTTTGAACATGATCTCTTAGAAAGTGATGTCTTATTTCAATGTGCTTCGTTCGAGAGTGTAAAACGGGATTTTTAGATAGGTTTATTGCAATTGTATTGTCACACATGATGGGAATATGATCATAGGATAGATGATAGTCGTTAAGGGTTTGTTTCATCCATAGCACTTGAGCACAACAGCTCGCGGCAGAAATGTATTCGGCCTCGGCCGTAGATAGGGCTACAGAGTTTTGTTTCTTACTAAACCATGAAACCAAAGCAAAATCGAGAAAATAACAAGTGCCACTAGTGCTTTTCCGATCAACTTGACAACCGGCCCAATTGGCATCCGAGTAACTAAGTAAGTCAAAGTTGGTACGTTTCGGATACCAAAGTCCTAAGTTTTAAGTCCCACTAAGATATCTAAAAATTCTTTTTACGGCTTTAAGGTGGGATTCCTTAGGGTTTGATTGAAATCGAGCACATAAGCATACACTAAACATGATATCGGGTCTACTTGCAGTTAAATAAAGAAGTGATCCGATCATATGTCGATGGAAGTGCATTGATCGTCTTCGTCAAGCTTTGCGGAAGTGCTCATTGGAGTATTCATTGATTTTAGATCATTCATCTCGAATTTCTTTAGCATGTCTAAGATGTACTTGCTTTGATTTATGAAAATGCCATCACATGCTTGTTTGATTTGAAGTCCGAGAAAGAATTTGAGTTCACCCATCACACTCATTTCAAATTCCATACTCATTTTTTAGAAAATTCTTCACAAATTTTAATATTTGTTGCACCAAAAATGATGTCATCAACATAAATTTGAACAATGAGTATGTCTTGTTTTTGGATTTTTATAAAAAGAGTAGTATCCGCTTTTCTAATAGAAAAACCATTTGAGAGTAGAAATTTGCTCAAGCGTTCAAACCACGCTCTAGGAGCTTGTTTGAGGCCGTAAAGAGCTTTTCTAAATTTAAACACATGATTTGGAAACTTATGATTTGTAAAACCGGGTGATTGCTCAACATAGACTTCTTCTTGAATAAAACCATTTAAAAATGCACTTTTAACATCCATTTGATAAAGCGTGAAGTTTTTGTGACATGCAAAAGCAAGAAGCATGTGAATGGATTCTAGTCGAGCTACGGGTGCAAAAGTTTCTTCATAGTTAATTCCTTCTTCTTGATTGTAACCTTGAACCACTAATCTAGCCTTGTTACACATCCAAATTTCATGAGCTGAATCACATGTACTAATTCTATTGAATTCATTCCTATCTAGCACACAATAGAGCAAGTTCTTGGCCTTAGCATTTAATGATAATTTGCCCCTATCATCTTCATCGTTTTCATCTCTTGGCTTGGGAATACATCGATCGGGTTTGCCATCAATTTTAACAGTTTTTGTAGGCATATATGGACCGTATTCAATAATTTCCCAAATATTATAATTAATAGATTGAACATAAATCATCATCCTATCTTTTCAATAATTATAATGTGTGCCATCAAAGAAGAGGGGTCGGTTGGTAGAATGCCCCTCGAGATTTTGAAAACCGATGTTAGTCATAACTCAAGATTGTAAAATCTTAAAGAAGTGAGTACCGAGCTTTGATACCAATTGAAAGCCGAAGATTAGCTAACCAAGAGGGGGGGTGAATTGGTTATTAAATCTTTTTCATTAATTACTCAAGATTTTGATATAAAGACTACGCAAATGATAGAGAATAGTCTAAGTACAAGAAAGCAAGCAAATGAAGCAATGTAGATGAGCGTGAAGTAAATGCATTAAGTAAAAGGGATAGAGAGAGCAGACGATATGTTATGGAGGTTCGATCCAATACAATGATCTACGTCCCCTATTACCAGGCTCTCCGACACGAGCAAGGCCTTTTCACTATATTGATTGACTTATGGTACAATCCAACCCTTTACAACGCTTTCGGTGACTTACAACCAAGGAGTACGGATCCTTTACAATGTTGAGCTTTCCAGGACTTCAACACGACCCACAATTCAAAATTAATTTACAAGTGAAATCTTCTCTTCTTATAGAATGATAGAATCAAGATTGATAACAAGAAGAGAAGAGGCAAAACTCTTCAATAGATGGTAATGAGTTTGGCTCAAAGTGTTGAAATGAAAAACTTCTTGAAGAACAAAAGATTTTCACAAAGTTAAATCACTCAAAAGTTTTTCAAGGGTTTTGATGCTTTTGATCTTTTTGAAGATGAATAATAAGGTTGTTGTTATCAATAAAAGCCTCACTTTAATGCTCAAGAATTGTTAATGCAAGTGAAGGAATAGTGAGTTATTTATAGCAATCAAACGGTCAAAATTTTGTTTTACCGGACGCACTATACTAGACGTTCGGTAAATATCGGACGGTCAAGTATTCGTTAATTTTTGTCAGAAAATATGAATGTTGGAAAAATGACCGTTGGGGCCAAAATCTGGGATATCAGACGTCTAGTATGCGTATCGGACATCCGGTACACCAGTTTTGGCTAGGAACATCCTCGTTTCTTTTTTTATCAAATGTAGGTATTCTAAGGACGTTTTAAAATGTTTTTCAAGGTATATGCTATACATGTTTTGATATTTGAAAACATAATTCTTGAGTAAAATATTTGTCATGAGTTTTGGATCGTAAATTCAAAACTTTGAGCTCATCACGATTTATTACCAAGTATTGAAATCTTTTGCCTTTACACATGATCATGAAATATCTACTTAGTTTGAATAACTTGATGTGCATTGCTCGATTGGTACTTGACTCGTGTCTCGATTTTCGTGGAGGCAACTTTTGCGGGATTTGCAACATCATTCTTCAATAGCCTCGATTGTTTGATCTTGTTTCTATTTGAGCTATTTTGCAAGTTTCTTGATCTCGAACTTTGTGCCTTCGAATGTACTTATGTGCAATAATCACTATGGACACTTAAATCAAATTGTTAGCAATAAACATAATTTGTTTGTGATAATCAAAATGAGAAGTCAACCATATGTCAACAATTAGTAATGACATTCTTAAAGATATTATTTTCGCATTCTCTTGTGACTTGTGTCAGTTTCTTCTTTTACATATACTTTTCTATTTCGATAATTAAACGTATAAATTATTTTGCTTGAATACTACATTTTTTGCTCATTGAATATTTTACTATAGTATACATTATTTATTCCCTATACTTTATTTTCACAAGAACAAAGGTATAGGTCGTACTTTTTTTTCATTTTGATTGATGCCCATATGGTTTTTTGTAAACATCACGCTTCTCTTTTTATATAAAGATCATATTGTTTTGGAATTAGAAATGCCTATGTTATTAGGTGTTTTGTTTGTGCTATTTTTATGTGAACATATTGAGTCCTTCAAAATTTCTCTGTATTTGTAAAGATTATCCTTTTGCAGTTTTTATTTTAACTCTTTAATTACAAGTATAGAGATTGAATTTGCTCATGTGGTTGAATTGATATAATATGATTATGGGGTTTAACCAGCACATGTTGTTTCTTCATATGCAGAAAGGAAGTCAGGGATTATGAAATGGCTAAGTAAGCTTTTCAAAATTGGGATTAATAATAGAGGAGTCACAGAAGATGGTCAGCAACCTCAGTTTCTGGGGGAGGAAAATATGTCTTTGCATGCGCCCGTTAGATCTTTGGTATTAATATCTCACCTTTTTTTTAAAAGCATATTTTGTATGGTTGTTTATTTTTCTTCTACCTGAATTCATATTGTCATCTAACTTGTACATATTGAAAGTCTCAACAATCTGTAGTCTTAACATAAGTTGAAATCACGGATTTTTTTTAAGAATCTTTCCCTCAATTTAGAAGAATTTAATCTTCGCCACTTTTTAAGCTCCATCGCAATTGATGCTTTTGGACATCTATTGTGTACTTTTATTAGGGTTTATTTTCTTATTGTGCTCTATACTTCTATTGATTATGAATCGTACAATGTACATGAGAATAAGATTCTGTATAAAGTTGGAGAGGAATACATTAGTTTGTAATGCTGCAACAATGATTCTCTGATTCGTAGAATAATGATAGGCACATTGCTTGATTTCATTCTTATTTGCCTTCTGTTATCAAATATATGTGCTGTTTACTCATCTCCGACCGTCTATTCTAAATTGAGGAGATATTGTTGGGTATTGACACTTTGTTGTCAATCAAATTAAATGTTGTAATTGTGGTTTCTAAATGTAAGTCTAGCTTGGTTGAAAGCCAACTAAGACATATGATGAAAATTAGGCAAGTTGTCCTTAAATTAAGGGGAGTGGCATGTAAGTTGGTAGAATCATGGTGTGTGATAGAATAATTGGTGGATATCTTGTAATATCTATCAAGCTTTGGCTATAAGTAGAGCTAAGTTGTAATGAATAAAATGCAAAAATATATACTACAAAAAGGTCCAAAAATGTAGTTCTCAAAGCTCTCTCCTTCTCCTATGTTCTGGCGAAAACCAGCAGAGTGATGGTATGTGTTTTACTTGTTTTATGTTATGTTTTAATGTTGATTTACACTGCCATCTTCCCCACATTTTCCCCACATGTAACCACACTTTATTAAGTTGTTAAACTCTATTTTGTTTAGCCATTGATCAACTCCTTGCTCCCTCGATCTGACTTGTTCTTCACCATGAAGATGGTCATCCTGTAGAAGGATGAACCTCTCATTTCTTCACACCATCAAGCACAATATTCCGCACAAATGGAAGAGCTTCGACTCTTCCAGATTCTACAGGTATGAAGATAAAGCCTGTTAAATTTTTAAAGATATAATTAGGGGTGTCCAAAAGACCCGAACCGAACCGAACCGAGTGATTCTTCATAAATTAAATACCCGAACGGGTACCCGAATCGAGAACCGATGTGTTTGGGTCAGGTCGCGAGTCTAGACCAAGAACCGAATAAAAATCGAAACTAAATAATTTTTTTATTTTTTATATTGAATTAATTAAATTATTTTATTTTTTCTATACAAATTAGCAAATTAATTAAATAAATCAGATTATTTCATAATTTTAATTTGAAAGCCCAAATCATTTTTAAAATCCATTAGCCTATTTTAATTTGAAGCAAATGAATATACTTTATGTAGTTTTGTTGTTATATTAATATCTACTTTTTGGTATTTGTATGTATTGAATTAATTTTATTGGACGGCTAGTTATTTATATGTTTTTGAATTGGGTTATGTTAATTTGTAAAAGTTATGAATAAAATATCATTAGTTGTATTTATGTAGTGTTGCCGTAAATATTAAAAAAAATTAATTATGGCACGGAACCGAACCGACCCGAACCCAAACGGTTCCATAATTATATTTGGACCCGACGGGTCCATTTATTAAATACCCGAAAGTTTTGGGTCGGTTTGGGTCTCTTCAGAACCGAACTGAACCGACCCACGGACAGCCCTAGATATAATAGTACCTAAAGAACTTTGATGCATATTTCATTCTGAAATGAGTAGAGCAATATCAATAGGAAATATGTTGCAAGAATTATGGACAATCATACCAAGTTTCCACAAATGTGAAATAATGAGAGCATATTAAGTTTCTAGAATATTTGAATCAGTCTTTCCTAATAGCAAGCTTCACTTTACGAAAATAATAGCAATGCCTAATAATTCCAAAGAGACGTAGAAGGAGCTCTTCGTAGCCATGACATGTTCACGAAATCACTATTTTTTCTTAAATTCTCCAACTCATGGTTATAGCGATGGAAATGGAGCTTAGAGGTTGATGCTTGAAACTTTTTAATATTATTCAAAACACAACTGGTGGCTGGTTTTTTACCTTCATGCTAGCTTGATCATAGAAAATAAGTTTATTGTTTACTTATAACATTTAACGTGCTCTTTTAATATGAACTACGTTTCAAATCTCTTCAGGATGACCGTCCAAGGACCAAAAGGGAAAAAGATGAATTAGATCGTACAATTTCCCTCTCTCTGAATGAAGATTTGAGAAGACCAAACGGTACTTTTCCCCCCTTTTCCAGTGTGGATTTTCTGGTTATGGACTTCACCATATTTCTATTGTTTGAGACCCTTTTCTCCTGCTGCAAAACATATGCATGACCTCGAATGTACCCAGTTACTGCAGAGGGTTGACGACTTCATTTTACAGGATACAAAAGGAGAACAGACAATGATGAAGATCTAGCAAGGTCACTTCGTGATCGCCCCAATAAATCATCACACCCTCCATATGCTCTTCGAGACCCTCCATATGCCCCTCAAGATTATGATCACAGGAGACATAGGTACTATATATTCAATCTAATGTTTCTGGATAATTGATTCAATTGTCTAAGTGTCATCCACCTGAAGGAAAATTTTATGCATATATGTTTTGTGGTTTTAGTTATTTGAAAAAACACTTTATGGAAAACCTAAGTCAGTTAGGACTAACCAAGTTCATAAGTTGAGTCACTTATCTTTGCTGGTCAATGCAGACAGCGCAAACTATTGCCTATAATTATGTTCAATGATTTGTATAACATAAACAATTGAATGCTCTGACATGTCTCTAAAGCATGAAAATTACTCAGTGATGCAAACTTTCACCATTTAATCCAATTTGATGTTCAGCTAGGAAAATTTTGACCTGTTCAGCTTCCAAAACCCGTTCATATGGATGATTTTGAAAAATGAACTCATGCATTCAATGGCAAGCTTTAGCTTGGCTGGATATGACTAATCTTGTGCTTCATATTTTCAGAGTATGCAGTGGTTACTACCACGAAATTGCTTATGGAAATTATTTGGAGCAGGTCAACACGAGGTGGAATTACAGCACTTTATTGATCTTTAAGGCAGAATAATGATGCATATGCAACTAATAAACCTGAAAAATTAGTATCACCATAATCATTTCCTGCCAAACCTGTCGAGCAACACCCAAATTGGCTCCCCGATACAGTCTCAATTACAAGTGAACCTAAACTTCATTCTTCCATTTGATAATCAAGAATTTTCAGTAGGTTAGTTGATTGAAATATTTATATTGTGTTAGTTTTTATCTCTCAAAATCTTTATCCAAAGATACACTATATGCATTGTCATTGAAGTTTATTTGGTAGGAATTTCTTCTCTACCCAATTTCAGCTTTTATCATTTGTGTTCTTACTATTGAAAAAATCTCTCCTTTTATGCATCTCGCATTAGGATGAGTTGTGCATATTTATCTTCAAAATGAATTCAGTTGTTCAACATGCTAGCATGTAAATGACTAGTTTTCCAAAACTCCATTCTAATATTTACAATATTTTCACCACAAATTTTCTTTTGTTATATATCCCACAATTGCCAAATGTCATTTCTTTATACTTCAATATTACTTACTAATCAAAAAAATTCTTACTTCACTACTGACCACTAATTTCACCAGAAGGACAGTTGTCCCTTACAAAAAATCACATAAGCACCACCTGGAGGGCACTTCCCACAACCATTTTCTAAAAACCTTTGCTTACAATACTGAACAAAAATTCTTGCTTGCCACTAAACATTTTCCAGTCTGCATTGAAAATAGAAATCCAACTTTGACTGCACTCATTCTAAATTTTCATCATTTCCATCCACTACCACGTCTCATCTCCCAACATATAAAACACCAAATTAAACCTTCCCCCAGTTTATCTTCTCCAACTTCATTTGCTCATTGTTAACTTCAACCTGGTAATTTCCTATCTTTTATCCAACAACATACATTAATTGCAGACATTTTCAAAAACATCATCCCATATGTTTTTCAATTATTATGTTTCATTTTAACTCTTCTATTTCTAATCATTCTCATCTACTAATCAAATAGAATTCATTGCAGATAGAGATGGCCACAGAATACAAACTCATACCTGACATCAAACCAGGAGAGTCTGGCTGGACTGTAAAAGCAATAGTTTCAGAAAAATGCTCTCCCAACAAAGCTCGGAACAGCCCATTGAAATACCGGCACATTTAGTTAATGGATCACAAGGTAAATCTTCTCACATGGTTTACGTTCCTTTATTTTGAAACTTAGATCCACAATAAATCAAAACCTTTAACTTTAAGCATCTTATTATCAATTTTTTTAAATTTAAACTAGGGGTGTGTAAAACAGCAGAAAGAATAAACCTAAGAATTAACTTCAATTTTGAAGACAATCTTACCTTTTTTGTTGCTGATGGGATTAAATGCATGGATGGTTAGGAATCCTACCTTCTTTTTTGCCACTGGTAATATTAAATGCATGGATGGTTAGGATCCTATATACTGAACCAAATTGTATCTGTCAAAACTCTTTCAATTCAAGTTACATATTACTCACATCAATCCATCATCAAGTTTGGTTTATGGGAAAAAATATACGTAATTTCTGTATCTTAATTATTGTTCTGTTTCATTGTAACATTATTATTAGGAAATAAGTTTAACATTGACCAATGCTTGTGAGATTGTTACTGATCATAGAGCCTAGCATATGTGACCTTAGTCAAGTTTTAGTGTAATATTCAAGCTCTAAGTAAGATTCAAGTAAAGCATAGAACTCATTGTATCTCATCCTATTCCTGCATTAGAACGCAAATCACACAACTTCTCTATTTATTTAAGATTAGCATTCCACTTCAATACTCATTTTCAAATGCTAAAAAAATTACTCTTACATTAAAATTGTTTTCTTTCCTCTCTTATAAAATCTCACCATAACATCTTTTAACTTCATTTTTTTGCAGGGGAACAAAGTTCAAGCTAGCTATTCGACAATCCCATCACAGCTTTCGAAGACACCTTACCCCGACAAAAAAACATACCTCATCTCAAATGCACAAGTTAAAGAAACTGATAAAAATTATACAGCCTAACTTGGGTGAAATCTGATGGACAATCAATGCAAAAATCAACATTGTTGAGGTTAATGAACAATTTAACTCTCTCCTTTCATCAGCTTACACCTTCATATCATTCCAAAATCTTCAGCCATACATGGACACAAATGCAGAAATTAGTAAGTACTTGCAATCTTGTTAACATCCTACCCTTCATTACTTCTATTTTAATGATAAACTACAACTCATACTAATTATGAACACAAATTACTTCTTGTAGGCATAATTGAAATTCCAATCGACATCTTCCCCAAAAGAGTAATTCAAATTCGTGATAGCCATTCAATAGTGCAAGACGTCATTCTCATGAACGAAAGGTTAGACTACTACAGCCTACACTAAAATAACTGTTTTAGTTAGATATTAAATACAACTAAAAACCTTACAGGTTAGAAACACGTATGCTTTAAATGTGGGACAATTTCATCACAAATGAATGTAATACCATTTGCAACACCATCACAAAAAAAAAACCAGTTCTTGTGGGTGGCAGATTAAAAGTAACTTCTTTCAATGGTAAATTCACTCATCCTCCTACACAATCACACCAACACATACCAATTTAAACCTTATACACGAAAACTAAATTNATTTAAACCTTATACACGTAAAATAAATTCAATGTTTATTTAGGTATATCCGGCTCTACAAAAATCAACTCATCAATGCTCATTAATCCCCCGGTTGAGCAAGTTCTTGAACTAAAGCATTGGTATATTCTCTCACTTACTCATTCACTTACATACTTATATCTATTGTAATTATTACTCTTCATTTCCTTATTATTTTTAACAATTGAAATCTTACATGCACATTAGGCTAGAAAACAACATAGACACATTAAATGACATTGAGGCAAGAAAAGCTTATATCTTCCCCACATCCGCTACAATTTGTTGTCGACCGAAAGAAAAGTTAGTCAACATCAAACAAGTACAGCAACTTCAATATGGTATACTAAATTACTACACCTTCTCACTTACATAGCATTTCATGCCTACCTTTAACACATTTTTTTATGTGTTATTTTATACATTGCAGGCAAAACAATTATGGATAGAAGCAAATGTCAGATTAGTTCCATTAAACCAACCACTGTGGTATCTATCATGTGACAATTGCAATAAATCCGCAAGTACAAATGTGAACGAAACTTATTTCTGTAGATTTTGCAAGCACAATTATGCTACACCAACTCCAAGGCATGATTATAATCAGGTCACAAACACATCGTCTATGTTAATAAATGCATTATTTATTATCTAATAATCATAAACCTTCCAACACTAACGATTCCACTTCTATTTTAACAGAGCGAGAGAAATCGTTGAATTACAAGATTCCACTAGCTCAATCACATCATCAATTATTGCAAATCTAGCCAAAACACTCCTAAAATGCCCAGCAAAAGAACTGATGAAACAAACAGTTGAGGTACCTATCTCAAAATTAAATTTTTCTACATCTTTTTTTCTCCTTAAATGTACTGTTAACTACTTTTAATAAACATTCCAACAGGAACACATGGAGAACAACTCTACAATTCAGACAGCAACTACACATGAGCACATCTTATACATAAAAACTGTAAATATAGAAGCAACGACCAACAAGGCCCATACGAAGTCATCTTTATCCTTGGCTCAAAACTTCAAAATCAAGACCATCTAGCTACCAACATGATACAACAAAACACTTCACAGAGATCTCAACTTACAAATGCAAACACTACACCAGCAGGTAGCTTGACAATCCAACGACCGTTTATACAGGAAGCTGACAAATGTGCAAACAGAAAGCAAAAATAGGAGTAGTAGTTCAAGAGTTTAAAATATGTATTTTGAATCTCTTTTGCATGCTTATAGCCATAGTCCACCACCTGACTCCAGCAACTCTATTTTCCATACTAGATTTTGTGCATTGTACATCTTAACATGTTAAAACCCATGTATACAAGTATGGCATGTTAGATCTTGGTTTTTAATTCATATTACTATCACCAATGTAAGTACCTATGGACACATTTTATATAATCCAATGTAATCATCCTTCCTTCAAACAGTTTTCATTGTTCATTGAAATACCACATAACCAAATTTCAACGTTGTTATTTACACTGCATCACCCACTATACGTGCAATGCACGTGCATCCACTAGTAATAATTAATATATAGTTTTCTTTTTCTTGTAGTAATTATACAATGAACGATAATTGTCCAGTGATGTGTCAGCTATGCGCATAATTTTTAGGTCTCCACCTAAACTTAATTGGGAGTTTGGATTCTTTGACTATTTGTACAAAAAAATAGCAAAAATAAGTGACAGAAATAAGGACTACGAAAAATATTGGATGAAAAAGTTGACTTTATTTTGAACTGACAAATGAAAGAGTGTCACGTAACATTATGTAAGGTATCATGTAAGCATTTGTTGTTGACTCTGAACAAATACTTAATTATGTAAGGTATCATGTATCATGTAAGCATTTGTACCCACATGGCCACTAATGACTTTGATCTCCTCAACAACATAATAAATCTCCCAGGATCCTTTTGAATTGGTCGACATGATCATGATGAGTTCGTACCTTGTCTATATGACTCGTGTATTGCACAAAAATTTAAATTTGTTAGTAGAGCTTTTACTTTTCCTAGTGAGTTCGTACCTTGTCTGTATATATGACTCACAATATATCGAAAAATGATACATGATCTAATAAGGATAGCTCGGGTTTTACAAGCATCGCTCATTACACCTCGACCTGCATAGCTCGAGTCATGCTTGGAAGTTTTGGAGTACCAATTATGTGTTTAAGTATCGATTTTGAATGTTTATGAGCGATCGATTTTCGATGACTTTCAGTAAAAGCTTTTAAATAATCCAACTCATACTAAATTAGTTAAGTTGATTTAATAGACTATACTAAAATAGTTTCAAACATTAATATTTTCATATCTAGATCAATTTGTTTAAGTAACACTCATCAAAATGAATTTATATACTTTACAGTAAATTTATCCATACTATAATATATTAAACATATAATATAATTAGTTAAGTTTTGATGGAAAATAATATTTCAACGTTTAATTGCATAGGAAAAAATCGTAATCTCCTCGTTAAATTTTTAGCATTTGACTACACGGATAATCCAACAAAAATATGCGAAAATATACTACAATTAGTGTTTGTTTGGTAAAGATTAAAATCCAATTAAAATTGAAAATATAGTCATTATTGGGTCATACTCGTATAATAAAAGTCAACAATAATGGTTAATTTTTCAATTTTAATCTATACCTAACACGCCCTTAATAAGTAAAATAAAAAAAAAAAAAGTAAACAAGTAAAACTTAGATGAAATTGAGCCCATAGTTGATTGTAAATTATAATTTAAAATATGTTGTTAATTTGTTGTTCAAAATAAAATAAGTGGATGAAGGATAAATTAAGAACAGAAGGGAAAATGTGCCCTAAAAGGGTCTATGTGACCGCATAAGCCATTTAGGCTTGCGGTCGTATAGCAATTTGCTGAAATACTTTTGGGGGCAAATGCTATAACTATGCGACCGCATACTTGTAAAAATATGACTGTTGGTTGAGTTTTTTCGAACTTTTTGGTGGTTTATTGATGAAACTTTGCACATCTTGCTTTGAGATTGGAACCACTTCGTATGGGATGATTGGAATCTATAAATACTTGTTGTGCTCATCCCAAAATATATAAGAAAATTATTGTACTACCATTCAAATTTTCAAAGAAATTTTTGTCCCTTTACATAATCAAATTCCTCTTTTTCACTTGTTCATTTTGAAGATTACTTTGCTTTTGGTGATTTTCATTAAAGGCTTGTATAATCTTACAAACTATTTGCCAATTAAATCCTTAAAAGTATTGTAGAGGAAGCAAATATCATTTGAGGATAAAGACATATTTTTCGTGGTCAATCCTTTGCAGGATTTTATTCATTATCTTCTTTCTTTAGTTTCTCCATTGCTGTATTTTTGGCTAACAATCTCAAACGATATTCGTCACTCTACTGCAATGGAGATGGAATCTATACTCGTTACAATCAAAAATAATAAATCAAG